GGTGGTGGTGCTTGACGTCTCGCCCTTTTCCCGTGATAAGACTCACAAATATCGGTTGTCGCAAGTGATGAAGACAACACGGCCACAATTAAGAAGATGAAGAAGATATACGGAGCTCGTTCCATATATATCTCGACTTTTTTCCCTTTAAGCTTGGGGAGGATTGTTGTAGTGTTAATTTATTACCTAATTGCTTGCATGCTTTGGACAAACTTCAAGTCATATATATGCATTTAAAGAGCCAGCTTACAAGCCTACAAAACACTTTGACAATTTGTGGCATATGAAGTTCAAGTCAATCGCTCCTAAGTGAATGCAAGCTGTAACAAGACATGTAAGAGACGAACCTCTTGTGCAAAAAGTCTTAACAATTTGCCTTCAACAAGCTCTCAGTTCTCACACAAACTACTACATGTTTTCTAAACCACATGCTTGAAAAACGCATTATGCACGCAGCACGCACGAGATGCTTAAAAACCTCTTATGGTCCCTTCGGCCAACTTCACTGATAACGACTATATATAACATCAGTAGATCAACACAACTTTAGCTATTTATATATGCAGAATTTCTGCATATATAAATCATGTGTATGACGGCTATTACCCAATACATCTTGTGTTTTTGCAGCAGAAACACATAATGTATTGTGAAAAATTGATAACAATTACATTATGATCAGTAAAATTTAGTTAGCACGATGATCAAAAGATTGGATTCAATTGTCAATTGCCCCTATCGGAAATAGGATTGACTAGCGATTCCGAAGGGACTGGAGTTACATCCCCTTTCCATTCAAGAGTTCTTATGTGTTTTCACGCCCCCTTGAGATCACTTCCTTTTTTCTGTGTGAGTTTGGGGGATATCTCCATTCATAGGTCTGAGATCTACACCTATGAATTGAAAGGTCCAAATGATCAACTCTGTAATCAGTTGATAGAATCAATAGGTCTTCAAGTTGTTCATTTGAAAAAGACAAACCCTTCTTATTGTTATTGGATGATCATGAGACTTCCCGAAAATTTTGAAATTTACTCTCCATGCTTTTCTAGCATGAAGGAGTTTTTCAAATATGAATTACCAATCACAAACAATGAAACACAATAATGCGAGTAATAGTTAATCAAGGTGTCATGTACAATATGAATGCATATATAGTCAATCAGAATCTCAAACTATATTTATTATAGAGAGCCATCAGCCATAGAAATATTAAAGTCAAGATACATATCGTTGACTTTCACTGTCAATGGTAAAGTAACTAAAATGTTGGGTGCCTTTGCTAGTGGGTAGGTCCAAAGTGCATGGGGTCAACATTTTAGTCTTGCAAGTTGGCCAATAAGTACTCTAGGCAATGGCTTTCATCGAGCTTTTTACCGTTGGATCACACACCCACACCCATACAATTATCGTTCGACCCAAAAATCGACGTCACCAGTAGGATCAAATTTATCGTATGGCTTTCATCGAGCTTTTTACCGTTGGATCACACACCCACACCCATACAATTATCGTTCGACCCAAAAATCGACGTCACCAGTAGGATCAAATTTATCGTACTGCAATTGTGAGGGATTGAATTTATAACGCAATAAGCAGGGGAAGTCCAGATGAAGCCCAAGTGAGGTTCCATTCAGCACCATAAGCAGGGAAAGTCCAGATGAAGCCCAAGTGAGGTTCCATTCAAAACAATTGGTGGAAGGAGGAGTAGCTCAATAGACTTATAAATTAAGCATATTTTTCCTATATAAACGATGTGGGACAACTCAGCAATTTTACCACAACAAAGAAAAAAAAAAACAATTTTCTTGATAATCAGGTTGATCATATACCTAGTAATTTCAAAGGAACATAGATTTTTCTTATAGTGTATTATAAAGTTAACATAATCTTAAACAATTGTCAAATTAAAGTTGTAATTAATAAGTAGAGCCATGCTCGAGCTCCTGGTACTCGAGATAGGACTCGAGTCTTTATCGAGTCGAGCCAAATTCGGCCCGTTCAGTTCATGAACCAATAAATGAACTCAAACTCAACTCGTTTATGAAAATTAACGAGTTCAGCTCGAGCCTTGGCGAACTGACTAATGCTAATATCTCGGGCCGTAATGAGCATTAAACAAGCCGAGATCCATATCAAATTAAGCTTATACAAACACAGTTCTTATACTCTCCTAATTCCATACAAGATTTAGGATTTACTTTCATAATGTGGACCACTAATTATATAACATGTTCTAGATTATCTTTATTCATGTATGAAAACCTTTACAGATCTTTTGATAACCCCTGATACACAATCATAAAATGGCACCAAAATCACAAATGACAATTATTAAATTGGGCTTGTGTTTTTTACATGTATCCTAATTAGGAAACACATGGACCTAATCAAACTCCCTTTTATCTTAATCCTATTAATACAAAAAATAAAATAAAAAAAAATAAAAATACTTAATTGGACTGTCTAGCTAGTTATTATTTGTTAGACGAGCTGATTCGTTAGTTAAAATGTATATTTATGTGAAAAATTATTATATAATTTTCCTATTGTTATTTTAGAATTAATATGACTTTTGAAATATATAAGTTATATTAGAATATAATTATTAGATGAGTTGGTTCGTCCTTGAGCAAAA